AAAGAAACATTAAAAATGAACGTAAAATATTTTCATATGAAAGGTCCGTTCGCAATTATACGTGACAGGTGATTTGAGATGGAAGTGATACAATAGATTAAAAAAAAAAACACACACACACATACAGCAAAACAAATAACTCGAGGAAACAAACTCACTTCAAGAGTGAAGAAGAGCTTTCAATGGCCTGGGAATAATGAGAGAATAACACAAATAAACATTGCTGAATGACCTTTGATTTTGTGGAAGTTCAAGAAGACGTGCAGTCGCGTAAAATAACGTTCAAATGCACAGAAGCCACAAGAGACACTAAAAAAAATAAACATTTTCAACAGGTCACAAATAAATTAAAAATGAATACTTTTGAATTCGATCTGAAAAAAAGAACTTAAATCAGAAAAAAAAAGTCGTTTTCAAGCAAAAAATGTCTAAATGTAGGCAGGATAAATAATTCTGCGAATAATAAGTTCATAATTCATAATACCTATCTGCGCACATATAAATATATAAATGTACCTGTTCGTGTGTGAGTGTGAGTGTGTGTTTTGGGTGTGGGGAATGTTGCCGTGAAAGCATTATGGTCATTTTCCCTGCTCCAATATATGATTCCACGATATATATATATATATATATATATATATATATATATATATATATATATATATATATACATATACATATATATATATATATATATACACATATATATATATATATATATATATATATATATATATATATATATATATATATATATATATATATATATATATATATATATATATATATATATATATATATATATATATATAAACACAAACGCGTAGACACAAACAGTCTGTTTGGGGCGCCCCTTTGCGTGTGTGTTTTCCCCTCGATTATATATATATATATATATATATATATATATATATATATATATATATATATATATATATATATATATATATATATATCAGCGTGAGGCTACCCAAGTGTTGCTCCTCTGTTTTGTTGTTACCACAACGATTCGGCCGTTGTGACATCCAGTTTTCCTCAGGTGTATATCGATCTAAAGCAATTCTGAAATTAACCCTTTATTTCATCTATGGGGTTAGTTTCTTCTCACTTCACTGATCATGTCTAGGGACATTGTGTCGGTCTTTTTTCTTATTTGAAACTGTCTAGTTATTTCTCGCCCCTTTTCATCGTATTGAATTTACATTCTGCCAGACATGGGGATTTGACTCACAACCAAATTCCAATAAATATACAATTCAACACTTCTATCTTTATGTCATTGTACCGCAGGAAATATGTTGTAGTGAACTTGCAGCGTTAACCTTAACCCTTTTCTGATTAGGTTGCAAATGCTGCTGGACGTTATGTGTTGACAGCTGATACTGCGCCATTTTTGATTGCTGCTGCTGTAGACAAGCTAATCTTAAAGCTACAATTTCACTACATTTTTTCCTACGGACAATGGCCAATGGGTAAAATCGAATATAATGTGTAGTCTGAGTATAAATAATGGTAATAATTATAATTTCTCATCCGAATCGTTCAGACATAAATTATATAACTGCCGCTTTACTCACAATATTCCAATCTTAATTTTTTAATTTTACTCATAGAAATAAGGCACTACTCACAGATATCTCCATACTCAAGATCTGGAACTAGCGTGGAAAGAACTGTCAGAAATAATTTGGGAAAAAACTTAAAAACAGCATCAGCACAAATTTAGGGTTTAAAGGTAAGTAAATGAATAAATTCATGAAAGATATGCCGTTCTCATCATCCATTAAGGACCCTGATCCTTCACGACGTGGTTAAAGTTACTGTCCACAAACTAATATAGCATTTAAGGATCCTCAGAATGCCTCCCTTTTGTAAATCTTTCTACGCTATCAAACATTCAGACGATCTCAGAATTCCTTGTTACCTCGACCGCTAGAATTCAATCGTATTACTCAATTGGCAATAAGGTCTCATCAATTTAATGTTGAATTAGCTAGATAATACCATACGTTATATCCTAATCTTTTCTTTTCTCAGATTTCTTGCCTGTGAAACTTTCTGTTTTTGCTTCCTTTCCATCTGCAACTTTCAAACATTAAAATACAACATCGTTCGCCATGTTCCGTCTTCTTCAACCATGTTTTTATTGTGTTCTCTCAGAATTTCGTATCATTTTTTTTCACTTCACGTACTAATTTGTATTTTAATGGCATTATCGTTTTACTTAGGATGAAATGATAAAAAACGTTTGTTCCATACTTAACTTTACCCATCATTCCTTGCATAAGCCCCTGTGAATGTCAATGTTTAAGAGCCGATGAATTCCAAAAATAACTGTTGAATTAATTTCTATAAGTACAAATTACGTTCTAGATACGATTATTAGATCTAATTCGTTGCTAACATATTCTGCGCAATGAATCCTTACAATCATTCTGTAGAACAACATATGTATCGCTTCAATGACTTTTTCATCTAGATAGAAATGGGGAGCATTCACTGCCAAGCATAATGATAGATATTGGAGTGCAGTTCCAGAATTTTTATTATTTTTAACGAAATATTACTTAGTCTTAATTCTTTGATTCTTTTCTGTAAGGAATCATATGCTATTCTGTAACAATGTCACTCATTGATCTTAAAATGATGTGTGATGCGGTCGCTTGCAACGGCACCAAATTCCATTGCTGCATTTTATATTAAAAAAAAAAGCAGGCGGACGAAAATTTATTGAAGATCTCGATTGATTTATTCCTGGTTTATTTTCCGCTCGTGTGAATTGTCAAGTGAGGGAAAGAAATACGACTAGCGGCAGGTTATTAAACTGTTCTCTACAGTGGTGACATCTTAATTCCGTTCGCAACCTGCCGACTTACGGGTCAGTTCGTACGTTTCGCTTACAATATTCAGCCTCTCACTTTAACTGCCTCCGTGGAACTCGCCAGCAAACTCTGCCCTCTTCCAATTTATACCCAAACTCTTCCTATTATGTTTCGCCTTTTTTTTTTGGCGAATCACTTCCGGTTCCGATTCGAGAAACTTCTAGAAGCACATAGGTTATTCTAGAAAAAGACCAAGTTTTTCCCAAACCACCTCAAATGGTAAACCCTTCGTCATTTATTTATTTAGAATATCAAATTCCCGGCCTAATTATATATAGCACTGGTCGCTCGCATTCACCCATGAAAGCCAGGAGTGACACCGAGGAGTCGATTTTAAAAGCTTTTCACAGAATAACGTTTGTTATTTGCGACTGAATGACCCGTTAGATCACAGGATATAATTTCTAGTGTTGCTGAAAATTTCTATTTTTCTTATATTCTTAATTTACGTTTTCTTCTTTTTAAAAGAAATTAATATAAATTTACGGTGAAATTTTTCACATGCCACTCAACATTTCGATGAGCTTTGGTTATCTCTGTCGCATTACTGTATTTTGTTTTTACACTTAACAGATAATTAAATTTATGTATCTATTTGATTCCTGATCTCTCTTATTCGAAGCTTTAAATTTTAGCTGCTTATGGGAACATTCTTCAAATCCTATATTCGGTTTTCTTATAGTTAATGTATAGTCGTTTATTTTCTCTTTATTTGCTTACTATTACTTATGTCTATGAGTCCCTCATCAATATAGTGTATCGCCTTATCTTATGTTGGTAAAACTGTATCCCCGGTGAGTACCACCCCTTAGGAATTTTCGTCCGCTTACGATAATATGGCTAAAAAGAATATCGAGATCCGGTGAAAAAAAACTTATTCAGGCCTTATATGTCTTTCTATTTGACTGGTCTAGATCAAAACTTTTTCCCCTTCCATATTTCCCTCATATATATTTGATCGTGTTCAAATTAGGGTTCAAAATATTTTCCAGTCGTAACTTAACGAATTATTTTGCCTAATGCTGGAAATATAGTCATCTGTTTTTTTACGTTATTAAAAATGCTTCCTTTTTCAATTATTCTGTTGATGGATATAGCATTTTTTGTTCCAGTGTCTCTAATGAAGTTTCTTTGTTCGGATTCTATTAATGATTTGAATCTGCTTCAAGATGTCTTCACTATAATACTAATAATAAATTCATGAAGCATATCAATGTGCACCTGGCTTCCTTATGGTCACTTTAAAAATAGACATAATTAAGTCGTCTGGTATACAGATACTATCGTTTGTTTCTTTTATTATTTCAGTAAAATTGACGATTAGAAATGTCTTATTATGATAGCATCTCTATTCCAATATTTTTCTGCTTTCTCTCCTCTGTTTCTGTTCATGTTGGTCAGTGCTAATATTATCTCAGTTTATGATATATTGTATAAAACGAACGATCAGTACTGCTCATTTTTTAAAATCTTCTTCATAGTTCATACTGAGAATAAATACCTTTGACAAATTAATTTCTATAGATAATGACATATTGATATTTGGTGTATGGAACTCAAGACGATACATATGATAATGTAAAAAAAGTACACGTTAATTTAATTTTAATAAATGCATTACGAAAAGGGAATTTGAAATATATAAAAATCAATTCGTAATAATATTTATGGCTATACATAATGAGTCAATTCCGGATAAATTAAATAGCGTAGCAAATTTATTAAGGTTAATAATATTTCCTGTTTCGAAATTTGAAGAGACGCGTGGTTCTGACGGTTTTTCTAATGTACTGAATGAGACATTGACAAAAAAATGTAACATCTGAAATGAATTTTTTCGATGTTTCTATATTCTGCAGTAACTCATGAAACATATTTATCTATCTAGCCTATCTATTTAGGCAGTACGTATTCTTTAATGCAAATATAATTAAAAACAACATACTATGTACTGATTAAGTTAAAATGCCGAATTTTCTATATTGGCAATATTCCTTCTGAGACAAGAGGAAATACTGTTAAAAGTATTTCGAAGTTTAGTTTGGAAGATAATTGCACGAAATATTTTCCACGCAATCGATTTTCTTAAGCCTTCAACAAGATAGGTAGAGGCAACTGATGAGTTTCCTAGACATATCTATCTATCTATCTATCTATCTATCTATCTATCTATCTATCTATCTATCTATCTATCGTGGTACGATCCACCTAATTTACATAGTGGAGTACCGACCATATAAATATGGTTGGTACCGGGAAGACGAGAAAGAAGTAAGAAGAGATCCAATCCAGAGACTGCCCGACTGCGACTAAGTCAACCCATTCTACAGGAACGGTCTTCCCAAGAATATACCAAACTATCTGTAAATATTGTGTACACGTTCTTGTGTCAATACATAGTGTTTAAGTACATTTTGTGTTGTATTATTATTATTATTCCATGCTTTATTCAAGTTTCAACACTATCTATTTATCTATCTCATTAGCATAAAAATTGTTCTTGGTATATAAAAAAGATTATTTTCAAACGTTCGTACACGATCATGTCCCATCGGACTTGCTTTTCTATTTTATATGTCAAATAAAATGACTTATTTGTAATGGTTGTCGGATAACAATTAGTAGATTTCTCAACAGATGTGAATTCAGAGTTTTCCTTCTATTATACTGTCGGCCCCTAAAAACAAGACCATTTTTGCCATTCTTAAGTGCATTTATACTGAATTGATATATATATATATATATATATATATATATATATATATATATATATATATATATATGATGCCCCCTGGGCTACATGAAACGCTGTCTCGTCCTCGGATGAATCCTGCGGCTAACCTTGAATTTGGACATTTCAATCCAAGCCTACCTCTGTTCCACCTTGTTTTTGTTTTGATCACAAGGCAGGCATGGGTTGATATTGCTTGATTGGTATATTTCAAGCCGGACTGCGTTATTAGAAAGATGTGTAAATGAAGAAGGTATATATAAATGAGGTTTATAAAGAAGCACTTTTCGTATAAGAATCTACAAGCATGCAGGCAATCGTTCATTACCTCGCAGTCTAATTTCTTGACAATTATTCTTTGTTTCAAATTCGGAGATGAGGTTTCAATCTTTAAGTCGAAACTTTTTCAGTCAGCAAATTACGGAATGCTGACAAAGTACTTGTCTCCAGCATTCTCTCTCTCTCTCTCTCTCTCTCTCTCTCTCTCTCTCTCTCTCTCTCTGTCGTTATATAGAGACTTCTACTTTGCACTTTCATTAGGGCACCCTGCACAGTCCATCTAATATTCAGGAACTAATCATGAATCAGGGATTTTTCGTGGCAGCAAATCACATCGCATAATGGAAGCGATTCTCTGTATAAACTGCTTCTCTCTGTCTGTCTGTCTTCCCTTCCCGCTGAACACTGTCATTTCCCTCTCGTCTAACGCTTTTATGGACCACCGACCAAACATCCAGGATTTTCCAAAATTTCACCCAGAACTCTCTGCTGTCAATGACCTTTGAAGCAATTTGTCTGTCGATCCCCCAACTTATTCTCACTTCTCTTGCTCGCACCTCGCACCAGTACCTTACAGTGGGCCTATTCTTTTCCTCCCACTTCCTCATATCAACTCCTCACGTTGCAGTCTTCCAGAGAATATATATTTCAACCAACCCCGTGAACCACCTAAGCAAAAATATATTATTTTGAATGTCACCGTAAAATAATTTATTTTCTCTATTCCTAATTATCACGTTTAGTCCGTAACTTTCCTCTCTTTCCCACTTGACCGAAATATTCTGACCTTTTTTCCTTTATCGAAATCCTTAGCAACATGTGACATAGAATTATTTCTTTATTCTTTTCCTCACCCACCTGTAGCCATAAAATTATTATCTCTAACTACCTCGGGGGGTCTGTGTCCAAATTCGCACTCCCCCTCCACCCGTCCCCTGGGTTTCACTTTAACCAAACGAAATGCACAAATGGATTTCAGCGTAACCAAATTATATTTTCTTTCATTTTTTTTCGGTATGTCTTTCAAACTATCTACGAAATTCTTCGTTTTTGTGTTCACTTTCGATTTAATTTAAGCCTTTTTTCTTTCTTCAAATTTTCAGTATTCTTAAAGTGTCACACAAACACACACACACACTCACGCACACGCACACACAGAGACACACGCACACACAGAGACAGACACAGACACACACACACATATATATATATATATATATATATATATATATATATATATATATATATATATATATATATATATATATATATATATATATATATATATATATATATATATATATATGCGTCCTCAGCACATTGGAAGATGACGTTTAACTCGGTACGCCTTAACACTTTCGCCGCGAAAAAGCAGTCGATTAGGCGAGGCCAAATTTCGTAATTTCAAGCGAAGTTTCTCTTGCCATAAATCTCGAATGTTCATATCTGCACTTTCGTAATCAAGCATAAACAAAGAAAATTTTTGAATTATTTTGTTTATTAATCCGAGATATTTTTATGACTGCTGAAGGAGCAATTTTCCTTTAATAATTTTTTTTCAAAATTCAGGACGTAGATAAATTAATCTCCTATTTAATAAATAAAAGGAGTGCATACTTATACAGGGTGAAATGCGTACTGCCAGACATGAGCAAGCGGCAACACTACGAGACAGTGACCTTGAGAGAGTAAACATTTCGCCATTTAGAATTCAACATGAAATTCACAGTATCCCAGCTGAGATGTTGCAGCAGTCAATGAGGAATCTCAACAGCAGATTTCAAGAATGCATTCGTACAGTAGGACGTCATCTACCGGAAGTAATTTTTAAAAAAATGAAAATTCCGTGATTGTTTCTTAAATGGCATGTTTGAAGGTTTCAATTACTATGAATATTTTTTTTTCTTTTATCACTCTTGGTTTTATTGGATTGTTAAAAACTTTCCGTTTTTTGGGGGGTCACCCTATATGTGAGTATGCATTGAATAACCTTTAAATTGATTTAAAAATAACGTCGGAGTAATCAAACAATAATTCTAAAATTCTCTTTTTATACGTTTGGATACAAATGTGTGCATATAACGAAATTTCGCTTGAAAGTGCGGAATTTCGCCTCACCTGAACTATTGTTCTTCCTGGCCAGAACGGTGAAGTGTGACGGGCTGATACATAATAACTTCATCCACCTGTAAAAAAAAAGATTAAAAATAATGGAAGGTTTAATAATAAAAAAGAAAAAAAAAACTCTTAACAATATTAACTACGAACAAGGCCACAATGTGCTAAACATATTCCGAAAGTAAAAAATGAAAAACATCTTTATAACATACTAAACCATACGTATAATGCACATACTCAATTAAGCTGAAAATTTGAATCATCCTTGATAATGGCTAATATAGCCGAAACCGCTCGGAAATATAAAATATCTGGGCAGTTTTTACACACTCTTTTTTCAGAATTGAAAGCTCTTGTTCGAACACATGAAAAAATAAATAAAAAGTTTAACAGTAGTACATTGTCTGGCGTTTTTTAATGAAACATGCGTATATATATATATATATATATATATATATATATATATATATATATATATATATATATATAATGAAGTATAGTACTAGTTCAAGAGATAGTATTTTAACTATTCAATGTATTACGTACTCCAACTTTATATTAGTGGTCTATCATAAATTACATTCTTTCCGACGGCTTTTCATCGGTTGGTATCCTAAGGGGTGTATTACCGTATTACCTTGTGGAATCTGCCTTTTCGTTTTTGTAGAAGTGTTTGATAGAAAATGGTTGCAGATTAAGTATTATATACAAGCAGCTTCAAAATTTGTGTATGGAAAACTTATTCACATATCATAGGTGTTTCATTCTACCGATCCATAGTAACATGTGCTCAAACTTTTTGCCAAACATCCATTTTCTACTGCATGCGTTTTTTTTCTTAAATCAAACATTCACGTCACGTGTTCTTATGCATGAATTTTGGCATCACATTGAATGGATGACACGTAGCATCTAGTTGAGTGAATGGTGCGTATTTGATACATTTGGAATCAAAAATCTTTTTTTTGTATTTCAGCAGTCAACTATCTTAAAGTATTCAAGTAAATTTTAAAATGAACGAATAATTCGATCTGCGTGAAAGCCACACATAGAAATCAATATATACAATTTGACTATAGAATATATCACGTTTTTATTTCTTTGTGAGACACAGAGATCGTTTAAATAAGAGAAAAGGTGCAAATATAAAATGAAATTAAGATGATACGCCATGTGAATGTGAGTTATTTTTTCTCTGTGTCTCTTTTCAGGTTTGTCTTTCTAACGCCTATCCCGCCAAGACAATGTGACATATTAGCTCGGCTTCTGATTGATCATGTAACGAATGATTATTCCTGTCGAAGAATGGACTACCCGCTCGTGTCCGCTTTTTAAAATCTGATGATTTAATGAAAACAACGCTTATTAATCTAATAATCCCCATTCTAAAGTGCCTAAAGGTTTCTACATATAAATGTAACCATTACTCATTTTATCACAAAATAAATTTAAAAAAACAAAACATTTACGTTTTGTATAACGAAAGTTTACAGGTTGATTTTTATATTTACTGACAATATTTTACATATATTTACATTTAGAATTCGCCACACATTGTTTTCTCCATTCCTCTTAATCGTCTTCCTTCATTCAACTTCTACCAATGCTGTATTATAACGTCTTTCTGTTCTGACAGACTTTCCTATGAGATAAAAGAAACGTCGCTCTCCAATATCAGCCATATCGTAAAGTCCATGGGATTAATGTCATAACCTGATGGAAGCCAAATTGACTTGTCAAAAATAAATCATGAGAGATATCTCTTACACAATCTCCTCAACAAATATTGTGTGTGTTCCAGAACACAGTCTTGAATGTATACATAACGAGTTCTAAATGTGACTGACAGCCAGGATAACACATGTACCTCAAACATTTGCTGGAGAATTCTAGTATTCGATTTCACTCCCTCAATAATCACCGTAGACAATTTAGAAACATCAGAAGCAAAGGCAGTGTAAACAATGGCACCAGTTTATTTTCTGATGCTTGAAATTTCTTCTGACAACTTTGTGTGTGCTTCCTGATAAAGTAACGTAAACTCTATCAATTTTGATGGGTGACCATAGGCTCCAGAGAGAACAATCTGATCCAATCAAACGAAGTCACTGTTCGCGGCACAACGCACTTTCTGTAAAAGTGTTACCTCTTTAATGCTGTTTTTAACTGAAGTAAATTGAGAGCCGCTGTCGTCATTGATCCCATTGGGATTTTTAGCCCTAGATAATCTTCCACTATGCCCCTTAGTGACCTATCCGAAATATCCAGTTCTTTTACCATCTTTCTCATATTTCTACGTGGATTTACTTTCACTCCTTCTCTGGTACGAATTGAACGGTTTCGTCTTGGAATTAGATTTGGTTAGTGTTATGGTCCAGGTTAAGACCAAGGAAGAACAACACGAACACAAGAGTAGAAATAACGAAGGTATATTACACGAAATAATAATACAAGATGTGGAAGGCGTTAGTATGACTGTCAGTCTGGTTTAGAGTGAACTACTATCGGCTGGACTCGATTCGGTATCTAGCCACCCCCTCACGAGGGTTGCATGGGGCACAAGGCCGAGTTTATCGTGGGTTTCCCGAGGCCGTAGGCTCAGCCAAAAAATGACCGTATAATCCGTATAAACGAGATCAGGATGGCCATTTCTCCCCGAACGAGATTCTGCCCTTCGGCGGAACCTCGTCCGGGTTCTTTTTCTGCTTCGACCGTCAAGTCGAGAAGCTCGGCTTGAATCGGTATCAGCCACCCCCCACGAGGGTTGCATGTGGCACAAGGCCGAGTTTATCGTGGGTTTCCCGAGTGGGACCCCGTAGGCTCAGCCAAAAAATGACCGTATAACTCGAATCGGTCATTTCTCCCCCGAACGAGATTCTACCCTTCGGCGGAACCTCGTCCGGGTTGCTCAGAGGCAGAAAGTTCGACCGTCAAGTCGAGAAGCCGGCTTGAATCAGTATCTAGCCACCCCACGAGGGTTGTATGGCACAAGGCTGAGTATATCGTGGGTTCCCGAGCCCGTAGGCTCAGCCAAAAATGACCGTATAACTCGTATAAACGAGATCAGGTTGGTCATTTCTCCCCGAACGAGATTCTGCCCTTCGGCGGAACCGTCCGTTCCTTTCTGCTCAGAGGCAGAAAGTTGGACCGTCAAGTCGAGAAGCTCGGCTTGAATCGGTATCTCCCCCCACGAGGGGTTGCATGCGACACAAGGTCATTTTTATCGACCGTTTCAGCCCGTAGGCTCAGCCAAAAATATGCCCGTATAACTCGTAAAAACGAGATCAGGTATTCACCCCGAACGACCCCTTCGGCGGAACCTCGTCCGGTTTCTTTCTGCCCAGAGGCTGGGTTTCCCGAGGTTCGACAAGTCGAGAAGCCAGCAGTATCCACCACCCCCACGAGGTTTGCATGCGACACAAGGTCATTTTTATCGGGGTTTCCTGGAGCCCGTAAGCCAAAAAATCCCATATAACTCGTATAAACGAGATCGGGTTGGTCATTTCTCCCCGAACGAGATTCTGCCCTTCGGCGGAACCTCGTCCGGGTTCCTTTCTGCTCAGAGGCAGAAAGTTCGACCGTCAAGTCGAGAAGCTCGGCTTGAATCAGTATCTAGCCCCCCACGAGGGGTTGCATGCGACAAAGGTCATTTTTATCGTGGGTTTCCCCGTAGGCTCAGCCAAAAATGGTTGAACCCGAAAACGAGATCGGTTGGTCATTTCTCCCGAACGAGATTCTGCCTGGCGGAACCGTCCGGGGCTTTCTGCTCAAAAATAGAGAGTTCGACCGTCAAGTCGAACTCGGCTAAAAACCCCCACGAGGGTTGCATGCGACACAAGGTCATTTTTATCGTGGGTCATTCAGCCAAAAATATGCCCGATCGGGTAGGTCATTCCACCCCGAACGAGATTCTGCCCTTCGGCGGAACCTCGTCCGGGTTCTTTTCTGCTCAGAGGCA